GTTTGGCGGGTCCGGGCTGGGGATTCGAACCCGCCACCTTAGGTGTATGTGGCTGGCGCCTTAGCCAGTTGAGCTATAGGCGCCGAGCCCAATGTTCAATTCTTAATAGCAGAAGATTGGAAGTAACTTTAAGGATAGTAGCTAAATCATGGTAGAACCTTACAAAAGACTACTATGAAGCCATTAAGAATGAGTATATGGGTGGCGCCTATAGCTCAAGCACCTAAGGTGCCAGCCACATACACCAGAGCTGGTGGGTTCGAATCCAGCCCAGGCCTGGCAAACAACAAAGACAACTACAACCAAAAAATAGCCAGGCGTTGTGGTGGGCACCTGTATCCCAGGTACTTGGGAGGCTGAGGCAAGAGAATTGCTTAAGCCCAGGAGTTTGAGGTGGCTGTGAGCTATGCCACAGCACTCTATCCAGGATGACAGCTTGAGGCTCTGTCTCAAAGAAACAGAATGAGTATATGTTCTGACATGGAGTAATTTCTAAGGGATACTGGAGTAATTTCTCAGGGATATTTTAAAGACAGTATGTCATTATTTGGGCCTAAAGAATTATATATATATATGTATATAAAAAGAATTTTTTTTTCTTTTTGCAGTTTTTGGCCAGGGTTGGGTTTGATCCCGCCACCACTGGCATATGGGGCCTGTGCCCCACTCCTTTGAGCCACCGGCGCTGCCCCTATAAAAAGAATTCTATATACACGCATACATGTATAATACATACATACTACTGTATACTTGTAAAAGATGTGGAGTATTTCTGGAAGCATACACAAGAAGTTTAACAGTGGTTGCATTTGAGGTAGAAGACTGTGGCTGGGTTTAGGTTGGGTTAGAGATTTTTCACTGTATCCCCTTTTGGTATTTCTTGAATTTTGTACCATGTGAATGTTTTCCAAAAATTATAAAATTTAACTTAAATACATTGAACAGTTTTTACCAGAATGTTACCCCCCATAAAATGCCCTATAAAAAGAGTTGTTCAATTATATCTTCTAAAAATTCTTTTATAGACCTTTGTGTCACTTCAGTGTCAAAAGGAGGGTTTGAAAGGGAAGAAACGGCAACATTTGCACTGTTCTACAGACTGAGAAACATTCTATTCGAAAGAAGTAAGTCCACTACAGAGTACTCTTGAGTGTTTTGTTTTATTCTTCCTGGATTAACCCACGAGGCTATCTATTCAGTAATCCCATGTGTTAAGGAAAGATTTAAATTTAAAAGCCTCATCATTTCATGACTGATAGTTAAGATTCACATATTTATATATGGGGTTGAGTTATGTATGTTTGATTTTGACTTTTAAGCATGTCCCCCATTTGTTTTTGTCCTTTCAGACAGAAGAGTGATGGATGCCATTTCTCGTTCACAGCTTTACTTAGACGATCTTTTTTCTGACTACTACGACAAACCTCTCAGCATGACTGATATTTCACTCAAAGAAGGGACACATATCCGAGTTAACTTACTTAATCACAACATTCCAAAAGGGCCTTGCATACTCTGTGGGATGGGAAACTTTAAAAGGGAGACCGTGTACGGGTGCTTTCAATGTTCTGTTGATGGACAGAAGTACGTGAGACTGCATGCAGTTCCTTGTTTTGATGTTTGGCATAAGAGAATGAAATAAAATGAAAAATTAATATATCTCACTGGTGTTTTAAATGTAGTTGTGCCATATACCTTCTTTAAATTACCTAGGTTTGCTTTGATTAAAAGGGAGAAGAAGGCTCACCGCCTGTGGCTCAAGTGGCTAAGGCACCAGCCACAT